TGCGTGTCCGAGCTTCTGCACCAACGGCTCGATTCGCTTCCCGGCTTTTGTTATTTTGCGTGCACGTAAACTGCAGAACTGCCAGGGTGCCTGGAAATCCTCCGATTTCCAATGGAGTTCCGTGCTAGGGGTGTGTCTGAGAGGGGAGGAGTGAAATTGATGCACCGAAGAGAACACAAACTACCGCACGGCACGACGTCAGACTTTTCCGGTGCTTATGTCGGCCTAAGAGGAACAGCTCTCTCTGCGGTCACAATAGAGCACCTTTTTTTTCCAGAGGATAAGAGGATTGCAAAAAGATGAGTGAGGTTTCAGATTTCATCTGGCGTGCCTGTGCCTTGCACCCAATATCCCTGACTTCACTTTGATAAATAAAAACTGCCATAACACTCATTGGCGTCACTGCAACGCTGAGAGTGGTTTTCAGCCCTTTCAGCGAGTCAGGATAGAACGCACAGGAAATTGCCCAGGAGAAACAGAACTGAGGCCGGAGCTGTAGAGGCAAGAATGGACTTGACCTTCTGTCTGCAGGGATGTGAAAGACAGAGAGACAAGAGAATCTGGAGAGAGTGATGTCTCTGATCTCGGTCCCGTTCCCTCCTGCAAGATGGCATTGCACCTGTTTTTAAAGAGAAAGCCTGTGAACCACCCCACCCCGACTGCACCCTGTCTGTCAGCCACAGCCGACTAATTCTGCAACAGCACCAGCTCTCCAGCTCTCCATCTCCCAGGGCTTGCCAGTCCAGCTCCACAAACTCCGGCGGAGAAAACAAGCACAAAGGCTGGTGTCTCTACCTGTCTGAGGGAACGCCGCTGCACGATCCCTGTCTGCTTTAGAACCCTTCAGGGCTCTGGGTGAGTGGCAAAGCTAGACCTCTCCCTGTGCACAGGGGACCATCTTCAAGGAACTGCTTTATGACTTCCTGTGGTCCTAACACATCCCCTTATTCCAGCCTTCCCTGAGCTGAGATTATTTTTCTCTTGCACGGGCAAGCAGCTGCTGCTCAGTTGCAATCTCTAGAAATAAAACAAGAAGAATTCTGCTTTAAACCCGCTTTTGCCCCTCTAATTGAATAAACCAACAGCTCGGAATGGCTCTTATTTACATAACTTGTTTCTGGTTTACTGCTTTGACTCACCTTGTTTTTTTGCAATTATTCCCCATAGACACACAAAACCCTATTTCAGAAAACTAAAAAAGAGGGAAACGAGAGAAGCCATTCAGCACATCTGGAGCATCCAGTAGCTAGCAGCTAAAGGACCTCATCCGCCATTTCCTGAAAGAAGCCATCCTATGG